TCCGTTAACATGCATTTATACCCTAATGTCAGTACACGTACTCGTATTGGTCAAGCAGGAATTAGCCCGTTAACATGCATTTATACCCTAATGTCAGTACACGTACTCGTATTGGTCAAGCAGGAATTAGCCCGTTAACATGCATTTATACCCTAATGTCAGTACACGTACTCGTATTGGTCAAGCAGGAATTAGCCCGTTAACATGCATTTATACCCTAATGTCAGTACACGTACTCGTATTGGTCAAGCAGGAATTAGCCCGTTAACATGCATTTAAACCCTAATGTCAGTACACGTACTCGTATTGGTCAAGCAGGAATTAGCCCGTTAACATGCATTTATACCCTAATGTCAGTACACGTACTCGTATTGGTCAAGCAGGAATTAGCAGCAAACACAATATTAAACAGATAACAATTGTAATCTATGTCGATGTTAACTTTTGTTATTGGCGGTGTAGCGTGTCACTGCAGTCGCGTGCCCAGGCTATGTTTAAGCCGTCACTCTGCGTTGGTGGGCGCCGCATGCAAACCTAGGGTAAACATGAACTAATTAGCATGTAATGCATCCTTCTAAAATATAACGCGGCGGTCAACGACACCGTATTTAGGGATGTTTTTGCAAGGGTGATGTAATTATATGGTATATGTAGAAAGGCAATGGTGAGAAAATTAATCGGAATACAAGAATAGATATTTAGTTTAACTGAGTGTGTCAGAAACCTTATAACATTAGATATATCTATAGTTGATATTGTATACTGGTTTAACGCCATAATTAGCTATAGAATATCTACCTATGGAACGTAATCAATGCAATCTCCGTCTGATTTATCGGTGGAATTTTAGCGAACACCAACGGGTTTTAATAATGAATTTTCACATTTAGACTGGGTCTGCGACAGTTTATCGATAGCTTTTTCGTCGCTGGTTGATTAGATAATTATTTAGATATCTAAATAAATAAAGTGTGGTTTTAATTGATGAAAATATTATGTAAATGCGCGTGTGTAATTTAAGTAATTTAGTGAACACTACTAGACACAGTTGTAAACAGATGAACGTTATGAGGGCGTAGTTATTATTTAAACACCTACACAATGTTTTCAATTCGTACTACTATAATGGCAACGAGTTCAACGTTTAAGAGCAACGCTCAATTTGTTTAAGCCCCCACCGATGATTGGCATTTTGCAAATTAGGTCACCCTCGTTAAATGAAGTTTGAATAAAATAAAATAAAAGTAAATAAATAAACTGTCAAGCTGTGAATCAGGTGTGGTCCATTGCGTACTAAAAAGCTGTGGTTTTAGAACTTATAAAATCATTTTTCCTACACCATAAGCAATTGTTATCAATGTTTGCAGTGTTTTGTGCTACAAAAGGGCGATAGTTGGACACTTATTTATATATGTGCACTTTTTGAGGAAAATATTATTCGACAAAATTGACTTTCGAAGAAATGGCGTGCACCGATTTAAATAGATACGCTCACTTATTCATACATAGCTTTATCAAGAGTATTCAATCTTCATTTACATGTTATTATCGGCATATATCAACTCGCTACGTGCCTGGTCGGTTTCGACACTCGGGGGTCTCTGTAACATATATAAATATGTTAAAATAACAATATTTGCATATTTGGAGCGATTAATTTAATATATTTAGTTCACACGACCAGTTTTTTTTTGCTAAAACTTGATTGTCACATCTGTGTAATAAAAGTAAAATAAAACAATGCATATGGTAATTTACAAGGTTTCGACTTTCTGCATTAGGTGAATTTGTATAATATGAGCATGGGCTAAATTTTTATCTGGACCGTGATCGTGTCACTTTTGGCACGTATCCACTCGGTGCCGACAGCAGACACACATTTCAGTACGTACATAGTCATGTGACACGGCCCCAATTCATGGCACTCCGGCAGCAATCACATACGTATCCCTCTACGACGACGACACGCAAAGTCATTCGTAAAAAAGATGAAACATTTTGTATGGAAGGTGCTTTAATTCAGACCGTTTAGATTATTGTGATAAACGAAGTTTTACTTTCGCAGTTCTCTAGAACCTGAGCGTGTACTTTTACTTAGCCGCGTCTGCTGCAGCATTATGTTAGTTCTGACCAATGGAACGATATAATGTGACACTGTTTAACCTGGTGACGTCATACAGTACCCAACTATGAACAATAGTTACTACCTTATACTAAAGTATGTTTGGATATTTAGAGTAGTAACAAATTCCCGCTTCCGGTTCGGTCCGGTTAGACTAAAATACACCACGAATATTCACTTTTGAGAGAAAATTGTTGGTATGTGTTTGTCCTTGGATGTTTCAGCTATGTCGTCCTGTACTTCGTTTAGTAATTCTAACTTCCAAAATCGCGTAAGAACGGATAGTAACGCGATTTTAACACGGAAAATGCTTGGGCTAAATTATTTGCTGAGGGACTGCTTAGGTATGTGCTCTGTAAGTTGTATATTATAATAATATCTCTGAATATAGAACTGAATCGCTACGCTCGGGGCCGATAGACATCATGACATTGAGTTAGTGGCATTAATACCGTGCATGGCGATGTAATTGTGCGTCATAAAATAGTCTTTATGCATTAAATGTAGGGTAGGTTACTTTGTAATGGTATATATGATTAAAATAGAACGAGTAACATATCACGTCCTACTATATTTACTTTCAAGGACAACATACTGGAGAAATGAACTAGTACATCAAAACTCATCCAGGGCTAGGCAGACTTGTAGTACTGCAATTTAGATCATTATCGAACCTCCTGTTCCGTGAATACATCCATTGGTTTAGTGCAAGATAATTATTATTGAAGTGAAATGTCAAGTAAACATGCTTTCGGTTTTAAAGACTAATTCACGGAGAATGTTGCGTTGTTCAGCCATGCAATGCGCAGGCGGAAATTGCCCTGTCAGTTAATACATGCAAAGGCGGAAGGAACCATTTTTCACACGATTCGGACACATCGAAATATTCTAAATCAACGGATTTGTTAGATTTATGACCTTGCACGACCCACATTATTCAGTTGACTGTCAACTGAAAAATAAACAACGTGCATTGAGAGTTGATGACGAGAAATAAGTTAATATGAGTTGGCGTGTTTGTCTGCTTTGATAGTACAAACATGCACTGATTCCCAATGAGCACGCCAAGCATACATCATCAAGACAGTTGGGCAATTAATATTTGACATTCTAAACACATCTTCCCTATTAAGGAGGTTCGAGCAGTATTAAAGATTGATCATGATCATTATACTTTCATTATTAAAAAGGGGTCAAATTTTCATGAAAATTGGTCAAAACTGACCAGATTAAAGTGGTTTTATATGGTGACGATATTTTTTTCATATCTTAATAATTTTGTCCATATAATATTATTGACACGAGTTCTAATATTGTGAAATAATTTCAAAAAATTGACATATAACTTAGTGATTTTCCTGGGTGATAGTTTTTCTATTATATAAAATGGGGAAAGGGGTTGGATATCTCCCACAATGCGTTGCGTATTTGTGCAATAACCATGCTCAGTAGCGCAAAATTGAATTTGGCTCGAGCTGCCTTAACGGCTATTTCCTTACAGCGAATCTACGCCATGTGACATTTTACTAAGGTATACCGTGTCCTGTATGGGAGAAAGGTGTATCAAACTCTTATCGTATTTCAAGTTATGTATTACGCTTAATTACTGGTAGTCCATTTAGAGGTGGTGGGAGTGAGCGAGAGACAGAGGGAAAGAGTGAGAGAGATAAACAGAGAAAGTGGGAGTGACAATAAATACATAAATAAATACATATATAGACACGCTGTTAAGTTTCAAATAGCGCCACCACTAGTTCACTAAATTATTACCATGGAATATCAGACACTTTGTCAGTATACATATCTATTTTTTACATATACATAGGATGTATTTATACTAGTGACTGTGTTTTCTGTCCACTAACATTCAGTCGTGTACAATGTTTGCCTACTTACACTTATTATACCACTGGATCGGTGAAACGTAAATTGTACTTTGTAAATTTACCCCAATGCTTTTAAAAGACGTCGAAGCCAAATCAGAGCCGTAGACTTATTGCTAGTGTTGAGTGAACTTTCTTTGTAAACTAATTAATAATGTATTCTCCAATCAAATTCTATATTTAGATCAACGAACGCTTCAGTAAAGATGAATTTAAACATTAGGTCATAGAATCCTGACATATACGTATGTTGGTTAAGACAGGCAGTATCCCTAATATCGTCATTTGTTACATTCACTGCAATGCGGTATCTGGGTTCGAGGCGCCTAAAAACGTACCGTCTCTTTGCCCTCAGATTACCTGTAGTCTAATCACTTTAGATGCTAATCTGCGGTCCTGACTTTGAGTCGGCCCATTATTGTAAGTTGGAGAGTATAAAAACGAAATGTACACATGCCACTACATGGGCATAACGCTCAGCCAGCGAAAATATAATATGCTATGTATATTTCAATGTTTCATTACTTAAATCAGTGATTATGTCACGTTTTTAAATCAGACGTTAAAAACTCACTATAGCAAACATTACACGAATGCATTACAATTAAACTAATTTTCTTTAACTTACAGTGACGATAATGAATTTGAAGGCTATCCCAGAATACATCTCGATACACTCAACCTTAATATATTTTCTTTCGGGCTTGTACTAAAAGTAACGCCGGCCATACTGATAACACCCTGTATAATGGATATCACGTATTTTCCGGTCGACCAGCAGACGTGTAATTTTGAGTTCGGACAGTGGGCTTATTTAGACTCTCAAGTAATACTACGAGCAGGAAAAGAGAACGCCACATTGGAAAACTACCTACCAAATGTTGAATGGGACATCGTGGATTCTAACGCCACGGCAATTGCCAAACACTTTCAAGGTGTGGACGACTCATTCACAACGATAGTGATTTCAATGGACATAAAAAGAAAACCCCTGTACTACACCGTAAATCTCATATTACCGTGTGTTGTGGTGTCTCTGCTGACAATTGTGGTCTTCTGTTTGCCCTCCATGTCTTCGGACAAAGTCAGTCTTAGTATCTCACTCTTACTGACAATTTATGTATTCAACATCCTTGTGATAGATCTACTTCCGGCCACATCGTTAGAGCTCCCTCTATTGACAGTCTATTTGATATTTAGCATGGGACTTATCGGACTATCGGTTGCCCTGACAACTCTAGTATCTCGGATTTACAGTAAAGGGGAGCATGCCAAAGCAGTACCGCAATTCCTGAGGACTATATTTCTTGGTAAACTTGCCGGTTTTTTATTTGTGAAGGTGAAGCTTACCCCTGTTTCCAAAGCAGCTGACGCTGCCGCGTACAAAGCATTGAACTCGGACGAGATCGCTATTAGTGACGCTGTTTATTATTGTTCAAATCCCCGAAACAGGGTGGACGGGGAACAATATGAAATGAACAATTGGACGCGTTTAGAATCAAAAGGAAACTCCAAGGCATGTGCAGGAGGGTGTCTGACAGGAAAAAGACCGAAGTTCCCAGCCAATTCACTCAAGAAAAATAAGAAAAAGAAAGCAGTAAAAGTGTTCTTCATTTGTGAGAGAACTAATCAGCGTATTCTAAGTAACCTTGATAAGTTAGTTCGACATACAGAGACGTTGATTCGACACATAGTACCGAATAAGAAGACAAAGCAGGTAAGAACGTAACATCAATCAATTATTATAGAGCTGAACGACGACACAATAGCGGAAGTAATAATCTTCTGCGCAAGCAATAATTTTATTTTTGCTCTTTGATTCGTCGACATAAGTTTAATAAAAACTAAGAGAAATCGATTAACATGTTACAATAGATTTAATTTAAATGAATGCAAATCACAAACACTTATTTCCGATTAAATGTTCTTCTAATTTTGTCATGGTGTTTTTTTTTTCTTATTTTAGAATCATGACGAGTGGGTCGCCTTGGCAACGGTTGTGGATCGCATACTACTTGTCCTTTTCATAATTGTTGGGGTGAGCGGAGCTGGAATAATCCTGCCCAAGATCACGTGATCACAACGTTTTTATAACACTATAAGCTGGTTATGAACCATTTGTAACGCTCTAAACTAAAACCAGAGACGACATTTTTTGTTCATAATATGCGAGCTCTTCCGGCGCCAGTGGAGACTGAGCAGTCTCCACAGAAAATCTCCCGATGAAAAAACTCGCTACGTGAATTGACTGTTATACACTTTGTAATAGACGAATTACGTTACAATTGTATTTGTAACATTTTAGCTTGGCGTTCGAGAAACTCTCTTCTCGTGCTACTGGTGATGTGCGCCCTCAGCGACTGTGATCACTCTTCAATTGACACATTGCTTGTGGCGAAACGCAGCATAGACGATTTTAGTAGGTTTAGAACATGTTTCAAGAGGTATTCGTGAAACAGAATGTTACATATTTATACGAGACAAAAGCAGAAGTTAAATACATATGTGTTTTCATTCTTTGAAAGCAAGCGGACAAAGCAGGCTTGCTATGAAAACTTTGTATACAATTGTCGAAATTTCAATTTTAGATTAATGCCAATGCGTTTGTTAATAATGTGCCAATGAACGTCATTGAATTATATTTCTTAAAAAACAAACAAAACATGTACAAAATAAAAGCAAAGCAAAAAAAGAACTAGTGGTGCATTTCTGTCACCATGATTTTGAGTACAGTTGCCTTTACCTCAATTCTTATATTCGCATAATTAGAATTTGTAGTATTTTTTAATTAGTAATGTGCACACAATTGTTTTGACGTCATGTATAGGTTAATCATTTATTAATGACGTTACGTATAGGTTGATAATTATTAAGTATTGTTGTTATTATTAAGTATATGTAGTAACTTTTAGCTGCTGAAATGTGTTTATCATTTATTTAAAAATAGTCGATTAGTCATACGTGTTATCGTAACAACTGACACGGAAGCACGTTACATATTTTAATGCATCATTTATGAATAAATTATGTCTTTCATTTTGAAAATGTATTAGTTTTTAATGGTTTGTTTCAAAGGAGTAAATAATCTAATCATTTAGGTCTGACATGGAACAAATGACATGCCTCAATCCAATGAAAGCGCTGTTTACTCCCACTGGACAAGCGGCGGTTATACTGGGTATACGTTGTGTACGCTGGACGTCTATCTAAGTAATAAATACATGTTATATTAATTAAAATTTCAACAAAATGTTGTTAAAATTCAATTTCACGTTTTGCTGTGAATTATAGGTGTACACTTGATAGTTTAGTGGAAAGCTGGACTTTCAAATTATTAAAAATTATTGACCTTGATGGCTGGGGATTCTTTTTTTTGCTTATGATTAATACAATTGTTTTTGTTATGTAACACAGTAACTAGCTGCGGTATATGGTTATGATATATTTGATGGAAACTTACCCATGGAATAAAGTGAACTGTATACAAATACCGCCAGTGTTATGAGTATATCAAGAATGCTTCTGTTTCCGTATTACGTTGTTTTAATAAGACCAGAGATACCGTGTTAATTGCATTGACAATTTTAAATGGAATGAGTTATATTTTTATGAAATATATAACTAAAATTATTGCACATCCGGCAGCGAAAACTATGGAATTAATTACGTACACTATAAAATAATATACAGGTCCCCTAATTATGTAAAATGTAAAATTATATACAGGTAAGTATTAATCGGTAATTACGTACATAGAAAATAATATACAGGTCCCCTAATTATGTAAAATATAAAATTATATACAGGTAAGTATTAATCGGTAATTACGTACATAGAAAATAATATACAGGTAATAGATTACCCTAATTACGTACAATATCAAATGGTATACAGGTAAATAATGGCACGTGATTACGTATAAAATGTTAAATCTTATACAGGTAAGCAATGACCTCAATTAAGTACAATATAAAATGATATAGAAGTAATATATATGTACGATAGTACACAGGTAATGTTCATCGCGTTTCATCTGGACATTCCTGTACATTACGAATCAAAGGAAATACCCACACGAACAAGAATCTGTGACATAAATGAAATAAAGCAGAGTATCCTCACCCCATTCTGCATTTTAAATAAAAAATCAATCCTTATATAATGTAGTTATCGCGAAATTTGTTAAATATTTTATGCGAGCTGATATGACTAGTACATGACGTAACGTATAACTTGGATTTGATTGATGAAAGTATACACTTAGGCCATAGTCGCCCCACAACGAACACATGTTAACAACGTCATTGAACACATTGCTACTCACTGCTATATTTTTTCTTGCATTTTTAACTGGTGACTTATGATGTTTCACATAATTACCGCAAGCTGGATTTCGTTACACTCATTAACATTTAAGTTGCACTGCTATAATATTAATCTGCTTGCCTCGTCTAACATTTACTTGTTCCTGACCGAGGAAAGTCACTAAGTATGTATTAATTATTCTGACCATTTGTATTATTGAGCGGCCAACCAACAACCTCAGTTACCGACTCAAGACTCTCGCTGACACCATTCTCAATACATATTTCTATTTATCAAGAAATATCTCTATTTTGGAAGATATTTTTGATTCAAATATATATTCAAACTTTGTCCTAACCTCCCAAACAAAAATGTTTAAATATTGCACCTTCTTTTTTTTGCACTTTCTTTTCACCCAAATATCTGTCAGTATATTTATATATGTCTAATTGCTAGAAATAAAAACATTTTGATCGATCAGCACGACGCAATGAAGTATAGATAACGACACGAAGCAATTATCCTACGTCGTAAAACCCGCTTTAAATAACACAATCTTATGTATTAGCTCACACAATACTATTATTACTGCGTATCGATCCACTGGTCTTCATTAGTAAATTATCTACAATGTAAGCACAGCAATTAAAACTGCGCAAAATGTTACAAAATACAGAAACAATTATAGCAATTATTATAAGCGCCGAATGAAAACAAAATTAGAGGTGTGGGAGCTCATTCACCATAGGATGATGACGATAAAAAAACGACACGGACGTAACTTTTTTTTTAAATAATATTTATTCACAGGCATCTTGCATCGACAATCTATGGACATAATAAATAGTACTCCACACTTCACCGGAGCTACATTATTAAAACGTCACAGATCTCTTGGAAAATAAACATCGCTCAAATGATATTAATTATTCACGGTACCTGAAGCAAACGACAGAAAAAGTGGTCGTGCTTGTAAATTTGAGAATCGTTAAGCCAGTTAATTTCAATGTTGAACTTTGACACGTATGGCGCTATTATAATAATGCTGAGACAACAGCAACAGGGTGATACAGCATTTGAATGACAACATACACACAATATGGCTTGTGCAATTCAGTGTGGAATGTTCATGTTATTGCTAGCTGTGGTAGAAGTGATGCTCTTCTCGGTCGGAACAGGTGTGTGCGGTAAGTAATATAATATAAATATAGTTCGTACGTTTGTATTTGAGAAGTATGATTGACACATCCGATAAAAGACAAATGTTTATTTTTGTAGTACAAAGCTTGAGGATACGTCTTAAGGTTATTATTACAGTTAAATATTGAACATTTTCTCATTTTTGGTAAATGTATAAATTATTAAGAATAATAACAAATGGCCTGGTTTTAGAAAATATTATGTTTATATTACATACATGCTTTGAGGAAAAGTCACTGGCAGTATTAACTACGTTGTATTGGGTTTTATGTATTACAAAGTCGTTAAAGTCAGTATAAGTTGATATTGATAGTTATGTTATATCTACATGGAAATACATACATTGTGAACTATACACATAACACTACGGGAAAGGTGATTTGTTCAAATCATTCTTATTAGCTGTAAATTGTGCCAACATGCTCATTACGAACGTTTACAGAATTGTATGTCTTCGAAAGACCGTTAGCGGGAGGCATCAATGATTGAGGGTTCAATACATTTTTGAGAAAATTGTCCGGAATTCGACTCATTAAAAAACTAAAGCGACAAACAAAATGGCCGACACTTAGATCGGATAGCACGGTAAGAATATTGCATGTAAGGAATAAATTATATTTGATGAGTGTATGACAAGTTGATGGGTAGTGTATTAGATATTCATGAAACAGTACAATATCAACAAGTTGGCAATGAAAGAAATTGAATCGGCTTTTAGCATGTCACCAATTTGACGAATAACATGTCGTTCGAAATGTCTTTGTAAATATTGAATTGAGAAATTTGATTCAGAGATGAATGGATTGAAACAATATACGCCTTTTTAACCACACGTTAGTTAAATTTCATTTAGCATAATAATTGACTGTGATAAATTTAATTAAAATTACTTTTTTCATATATTGCTATGTTCAATCAAATTTCAATAACGTCATATTTGTGTTAATCAATATATTGCCCTGTATAGATAAGCTAATACATATTATTTATTATTATACTTGAATATCTACAAGTTTATCATTATTTATTCATCCTTTATTATCGATTTTTTCACAATTCTGTAGCAATATATAAAACAAACGGCTCGTGTCTCGGTTCTGTTAATAAAGAATATTAAGACATGCTGAGTTGCATCGTACTATCTTACAACTATAAGGTTTCAGTTACATGACGTAGCCCCCGGCTGTGCCACAAGTAGTGAAAACGACAGTCTGTTGATTGTACAGTTATGTTTGTTTCGTGATTTATTCTACTAGTAATAGAAGTCAGTCGTATTGTTCCACGCTTCGTCTTCAGTAAATAGATGCATTTTTATAGCTATTATGTAATTTATTGGGAATATCTTTATTGCAAACTAAATATATTTGCTCTTTCTTAAAGAATCAGTGCTTATTTTGTTAATCGCTTCCATTGCAATCATTGTAAGCATCGAGCCTATCTGAATTCTGCGATGCTATTCAAATACATAATGTTATAAACAATTATTATACATATGTCACTGTCACACCCTAAGTTACAATGTGTCGTAATTGTGCGGCATTTTACGGGGTATTTTCATCCTGCCGTACTAGGAAATGCGAATTCCAAATATCGAATGATTACGCGCGTAAGCGTCCTCTAATAATAAAAACAAACATGGCTGCCACTAGGTTTTGACCGGACTCCACACCAAGAAGTTCGCTAATTCTGTTTTAAACATTTTGGATTTCGGCATTCCCATGAAAAGAAAGGAAAACACGATTTTTCTTGTACGTTCGTGACAAGATTATACGTTGTCCCATTCACGTTTGTAAATGTTGTCATAAATTTCGTTATCAATTACTCAAATGATAATAATAAAATAATAAAAACATAAATGAGGAAGGCGGTTGATAAACGTGGTTTCTTTTTAATTGATAATTGGCTCATTTTATAAACTAAACATTAATTTCCTTTCAGATAGCGGGAAAAACAGTTACCATGAGCGCACAAAAAACATCTATTTAACAAGTGCATAGTAAGATACTCTCTTGATTGTGGTTGGAAAATAAAACATGTCAAACATGGGTTTAGGTGAAATGGTTTGGGGATTAATCATTTTTATTTTACAAAAATTAAATGCAAAAATAACAATTATACTTACATTGCAATATACTTCGTCCAGTTGGTCCCTCTAAAATGTTGACCGATTATTTACGAGACCATGGCTGTATTTTTATGGCTATTTATTAACGGCAATATAGAATAAATTCTGTATATCATTTTTTACGTGGCAGTGCCAGGGGTGTGAATATTAATTAGTAGTACAAGATATGATCGAGCTGCGACAGTTCTTCACCTTTATATTTGATGGTTTTCAGTATATGCAAATTTGAGAATTGTCTTTGTTGGATTCATTTGGTGGCACTAATATTTCAACTTCTCTACTTTCCATTAAACGACCATTAAAATGTTGACATTTTATCGAAAAATTACACTACTTTCCATTTTATGTGTCAGTCTCCGATCATTGGTCAAGCAATATGAAATTTGAATATGGATGAAAAATTTACGTATATAATATCGAAAATTTTATATTGATAGAAACTCGATGGATAGTACCGGATATAAAATCCTATTTTATAAACTTAATTCCAAAAGGAGACAGAAGCTGTTCTGAATTTCTTGTGATTGTCTGGGGTGTATCCCGATCTGAACACAGTACAAGCATAAATATTTTAACTATAAATATAACATATCTGGAGCTCTTCCCTGTCTGACAGGATAGCGTTGTTCAGACACTTGGTTGATCCTATCCATAAATACTGGTGGATTTGATTGTTGTACTATGGCATGCATGCTACTATCACAGTCAAGAAGAAGAACATAGAACACTTTCCCGGGGTAGTTGAAACCGAAATTGTCATCTAGCTATAAGGCCATCGCTGATTGGCTGCTGAGCTGGAATGACAATTTTGGTTTCAAATACCCCGGAAAGTGTTCTATGTTCTTCGTGTAATTAGGTGTTCCTATTTAAGGGATTTTTCCACACAAAACCGACGAATACCGGCCGATTTGTTTTAATCATTTTGTTATATTTGTTAACGGATCGTATTTCTGTGAAAGATTATTTATGTTGGTGTTAGGTCGTCAAGTGATAGATGACAGGTTGAGTTGTCGTTGTAGTTTCAATCATTTGGTCGGATGCGATCTGAATTAATGTTATTTTGTAAAGTGTTCACATTTTTACAAATATAAACTGAGGGCCATTGTTTCTTACTAGAAATTCTACCTTCGACTACGTACTAGGTTTGCTAGGTACAATCGGCGATCACCAGTGTGCATCAGTGACTACCAGGCACATTTTTCTTGTATTCCCGATGTCAGACAACCCTGGTACAGATATCTCATCTTTACACTGGTATAGTGGGGTGACATTTTAGGAAGACGATCTCATCGTTTCATGGCCGCTGCATATATATTGAGTCTCTTCCGTTCTCATATGATAACCTGTTACTGGTAACTGTGTATGGTTTAATAAATCAACTGAATTTTCCCGAGACAAAGTCGAGACAAACAAAATCTGCGTACTAGATTTCATATGTATATCAAGTAAGAAATATTGCATAGCAATGTAGACAGCGTTTGCAGTGTATTAGCAAATAAAACTGGCGTTGCTTTCCTTCATATTCAACACAGACATACATGCTGCTTAGGTTATGACAGATTCCCCGGTCTAAAATGGAATCAGAGCTCAGTAACTAATGGCGTAGTTGTCGTGTGTCCTTGTACATCATCAACTATTCAAATATTTTATCAGAAGGTCGGTCAGAAGATATCAAATTTCGTTTTAGGGTATACATGTATGATTCTATGTGTCTGAACTGCCATGGCAATTGTTTCTATGGTGAAATGTCATTTGCAGCAATTTGTATTCTATATCTTCCTCTACACTTTCATCAAACGAAGCCTTCTTGCCAATCTTAAATCCGTCGATTAAGATCGTTATCATGCAAATGTGTAACGTAATTAATTTCTTACCTAACGTGCTAATACCTGTATTTAGTTGTCATACTGTGGATCAATTGTTATTATTAAACAATGTATTCGTATAAAGTTCATGTCTAATATCACTCATTTTATATGAATACATTTTTAACAGAGACCCACCATGTGTAAGCATGCCTTCTTATCTATCTTTAACTTTACCTATTACGTTTTTATTAATATAATAACGATATGGTGAATTGTTATCCAACTCATTTATTTAATATCAATCTTTATACTGCGATGAGATTTACATTACGTAAAATAGGTTGAGCTACCATTATAATAGGTGTTTTCATTTGTTACCAACCGCACATTAACTATCTTTTATAAATTGTGCACTATTTACCAAAACCATATAGTTGTGTAATTAGGAAAATTGTTTTTCAGGTATTTTCACAAATTGAACACTAATCAATACTATTACTTTTTTTCTTTTGAAGCATAATTTGAACCTTTGTTTTTATATCCGAAAATGTGTTTTGATACCTTTTTATATTTTTATGTTATGATTATGTAACAATGAGGACTCAATATCATTATAATTAACATTATCCATTTTCAATCTTACATGCCCTCAGAATGTAGTTCACAAAGATTTAATTGTCTCAAATGACAACACTTTAAACATCCATAAATCCATCATCATCATTTTTCATAATAGTTATCACATTCATGGGATTATGTAGGTAGAGCAATTTTATGAAGCTCTATTCAATTGTTTATATTTATAAATATTCATAATTTGTTTAATATCTAATTGACCAGTTCGAATCATTCCACACCAGTTTCGCTATAGCATTTGTTATGTACTAAGTCGAGTATTTGTTCAATTTCATTTATAGCAACACAGAACTTACTATCAAAACATGTAATTATATAATTACATAGACCCCTGGGTTTCCAGTTCAAGAAAACATATAGAGCATATCGAAGCGCTAAGGCATATTAAAGATATGGCACCATAACTGCATTCATTGAAGGTCTGAAGCCACCAGTCGGTCATCTTGAATTCACTCTAATATACAAAAATACACGCATCAAATTCTCGTAATAATCAGTGTACATACCAAGAGTGAACAAGTTTCGACTATAAACAATCGAAATCCTGTTCCAGAAATTATCATCACAAAATTAATCGTTTTTCGACCAAGCTAGATTGAATCATCAAACGAAGAAATGAGTAATTCGCGACTTGATATATGATTTATATATAAAGACTGAACATGATCGATCAAAGCATTCCTATATGCCGGGGAAAGCATTTGTTAAAACATGATGATAATTTGTTTTCTCATTCGACCATTTTGAATCCGATCAAAAACAATTGAACGTGCATATGTATCTTAAGATGATGATGTATGTGTAAAGTTGAGTGTTATCGAACCAGGCATATTATATATATAACTGGAGAGGCACATCCGAAAAACAAAAGCCCATGTTCGGACTCGTTCGATTCTAGTACCAACATACTTCCCTCTTAATAATTACTTTTAATATATCAAGCATTTCACCTCTTTCGAATCACGTATTATTTGATATTTGATAAAAGCTCAGGTATAATGTAAAGTAGCAACAAGGGTTAAATAATTATTTTATATTCAGACATCCTCTAATACCAGCAAAGCATACTATTTTGTTAAACTATATCTGTCGATTGCTTAAAGAATTATATTCAAATATATCCCTTTATTTTTTCAATACAATTTCATTCATTTAATTCCTTTAGGTATATTTCGCTTCGTGTAATATATATATATATCACACTGTTTCCGTATGTTTACTTTTCTTTAAGTGTGTTTTTGTAATTTGGTTAAATTGCTGAAATTTATTGAATAATATTTCTAGAATACTAATATTATAAATACATACATATAATAGTTATGCTTTCACATTATTTGTCATTCTTGTGTTTTACTTGACACATACGGCACTTTGCCCTGGAATTTTTTTTATTACACCATAAAAAAACACAGGTATTGAGACACAGGGTACCGTCTAATGTTATTTTTCTTCTTGTAAGTTCATCTGTCATAAATATTGTATTCATAAACATAGTTGTAAACACAAAGTAATCCACATTTAGACAAATATTTGTATTGTAATCGTGTATAAGATCGTAATTACATTCATCACATGCTTCATCGATGCATTGGTCGAATAAATGCATCATTGATATTCACATATTGTCATTACAATGATATGAAATTTTTATAGCTTTGCTTGATCACAAAATAGAGCATATAAGTATATGAGGCATGACCAGGTTTGATTGGTTGAGAAGGTCTCAATGTATTACATGTTGTGCATATAACAATTATTTTCTATTGCAGATGAAACGAGCCGTTTCATGTCCAACGAAGAGAGTTTAATGAAATATTTAATCAATGATGCGTACAGTCCTTTATCCCGACCGGTGCGAAACTCAAGCGACGTTGTGGAAGTAAATTTATGGATGACATTAACGCAGCTCATGGACGTAGTAAGTGTTATGTTATGTTATGTTATGTTATGTTATGTTATGTTATGTTGTGTTGTGTTGTGTTGTGTTGTGTTGTGTTGTGTTGTGTTGTGTTGTGTTATGTTATGTTATGTTATGTTATGTTATGTTAATTAGGTTAATTAGGTTAATTAGGTTCTAGTTTAAATGAGTTCTAGTTTAAATTGTGTTATTTAATATCATAATTTTGAAACTTTAGATTTTGGTATGAAGCTTTTTAGAAAACAAATCTGCTTCACCAATGCAGGTTGGTACTTTCAACTGTTAATAATAAATTGTCTTTTTGATTATGTTTATAGTCAGCTCTATTTGTAAATTAACCCTTTTTCAAGGTTTTTCCAATGCCTACCGTATTATTATTTTGCCAAAGTTTCGTGTTTGGAGGGGGTTAAATTGTAGTTTAATTGTAGCAGGGAATAATAATAATATTATCACGTGATCTAGTGTAATATACAATGTGTGAAATAATCGTGATGTGCAGATGATAACGTTTGCTTTCATATGATATATTTTCAGAACGAGAAATCCCAGCTTATAACAACAAATGTGTGGATATATCAGGTAATACGCTCCAACAGTAAATTATGTAACAAAAACAAGCCTTTCTGGCATATATGAGGAGTTTTAACGAGACAATACTGAATTTATAAATTACATACATACATATTCTGAAAATGTAGCTTACGTTTATCAATATGTATTGTATTGCTAGTGTGAAATATATTTTAGTTACCATTTGGATGTCTGTATCTATCACCACGTGCACGCGCCCGAAGCCCCATAACCTAGAGTAGAGTCTGGCCTAACTACTACTCAGGGACGACAATTCAATATATTATATACACAAACGATTGCAAATTTTCAGTATATGAATATTATTACAGATTATTAAAAACAACATCTACATGCATGGCTACATATTAACCATTTCAAATCCTCCATTCTGACTGACATATTCTTTCATATACAAACCCACACTCTTCTAAACTGTTAAAATGTCCCCAAAATGTTCTACCTTGATTTCGAATATGTGACATTTGGATGGGTCTATATGACAGTTTAAACTAAGTTTGGCAAGTAATTGCCCACTAACTAAATGCATAGATAAAATGTTCTACAAAGAACGACAAAATATAATTTTAGTAGTTGACAATAAAACATATTAATTTTACTGTCAGAGCTCTGAATGTATACTATGTGAGCAATTTATGATTAACATTTCTAACCTGCTGTATTTAGTCTTGGAACGACCCTAGGCTTGCGTGGAATGATACTGATTTCAATGGAATAAGTGCCATTCGTCTACCAGTACAGAACGTATGGACACCAGATACATCCCTACTTACAAGGTGAGGGCATAATACTTTAATCTGCTTATGATTCTAGAAATTATTTTTTGATATTATTAAATGTGTTTCACCTGGAGTATCATCGCATTTTTGTACATTTATTTGTTTACTGCTACATTTACAAACAATACAATTTAACCATATAAGTATTATCTGCAACTGTATTTAAGTACAACGTCAGTGAACCAACAGGTAGATAATCTACAGCTAAACATCGATAGAGTATGGTTCTGTCACGATGCAACGCGTAAAAAATTTATATGTACATAGAAATAGTGTGCAGTTCACGCCAGCCAAGTTTTGTTGCAGAATTTCGCCCATTGTCGGCATTTTCGTAATTATAAGTTAAAACGTCATACTTCTATTGATAATTTTATTCGAAATTTCAATCCAATTTGATATTGTTTAATAAGCCCAAGTGAGAATAGAAATAATTGTCAACAAGTGTGGGTGTGAATGTTTTTATTTACTTGTTGTAGAAATCAGGGGGGTTACTATATGTTATTCATGTTCATAGTTGCCCTGGAAATGAACTAAGTCACGCTAAGTCAATAGTAAACATATTTGTAAGGTTGACACATGACGTAACGTAATATACATAATATATGCAACAGTATGTAATAAGTTTCATTTCACAATCAAAAAGCAATAATGAGCTAATTTACATATTTTTGAAATAACAAGAGGTCACTAAATTATCAAAACCGCATTTTTTTCTGTTCAAAATCAGTTCCGCAAACATTCAGAGGTGAAACCATAATATCATTATCATCATACACTTCAATCAAATTCCGTATTCTCAAAACATGAATTTGTCCAATCCAACAATCTGTAGGGGTTTGTGTTACAATATCGCATTTTTATTTTTCAGTCGGTGCGTGAAAGTTCACTGAAATGTACGTTTACAGTAATTTCTTTTTTTTTTGTTTCAGTGCTGACAATCAATATCCAGGTTTTCCGTTAATGCATATTAAGGAACTCAATGCGATTGTTTACAGCAATGGAGACGTACTTAAAATAGTGCCACAGGTTTTATACACACCGTGTATTATGGATATTAAAATGTTTCCTGTTGATATTCAGCACTGTGAATTGGAATTCCAATCGTGGTCGTTTTCGAGTAATGAAATGATCCTGATTTCTCACTACGATGAAGTTAAATTCGAAAAATATATCCCTAATGTTGAATGGGATGTGACCTCATCTTCTGTGACGCCAGTTCGGAGGACGTTTGCCGAAGTTAATGGACTGCATTCATATACAAGCCTTATTGCTACACTTGTTATTGAAAGAAAGCCATTGTACTATGTGATAAATTTGATTTTGCCGTGTGTAATGGTGTCAGTTTTAACACTTGTCGTATTTTGCCTACCGTCGAATTCTCCAGACAAACTCAATTTGAGTATTTCGTTGATGCTTACTCTGTACGTGTTTAATTTACTCATTACCGATCTGCTGCCACCGACATCGACAAATCTTCCTCTCATTACTGTCTATTTTCTATTCAGTATGTTCGCAATTGCAATTTCCGTTGCCGTAACCACTCTTGTTTCCAAGATATATAAAAAATGCGAAGTTAGTGGTGAGCAGAGGCCGGTGCCAAAGTGGGTGAAAAAACTCCTACTTGGCAAGATGTACGAATATTTACTTCTGCCCAAACGACATTATCTAAAAAAGAAAGGCAACAGTATAATTTTGCACAATTACACGCCCGAGTTAGCAGGACAAGACAACATACCTCACAATATATTTTCGGATATTTTGGGAAGAAAGATAAAATATGAACGTGCAATACCGAGTGTGAAATACCGTAAACTTAAACTGTGCTTCAGTAATAACAGGCAAAATGGGAAAATAATTTCTGCTTTACGTAAAATTACGAAGTCGTTGGATAAAATCACTAGGTACATGTTACCAGACATCCACTCTGATAAGGTGAGTTATGTACTTCATTGCCAGTGCAATGCCAGTGGACGAATAAAGCTTAAATGTTCAAAGAGTTTGCTTTTGCTTCCGGTTTGAATTGTTGTTTTTTTATTACTTTAACGATCAGATGGTCTATTGCTCATAGTTTTGCACGTTTATTCATGTGAAAATAACGTCGCTTAATTATTGGGGAAGGAAAATATGCCAGTATTTGGGATTGTATATTTTGTTAGTTTTCTTTGTGATCATGAGATATGTTTTAGCTCACCCATTTAACCTATGGATTATGTGGATAATCGGCATTTACACCATTTCCCCGTGACTGCATACGTTGTTACTATCAACCTTCAAAGCTCATCCAATTCTCGATGTGCATTATATTGTTGAAATTTGGGCATGTTGTAGTTATTCCCTGTGACAGGTTATTTGATAGATCGAAGAAAAAATATAGTGTCCAAACTATTTTTATAACTTTAACCTTTGAGTTGCTTTGTGCATTTGGCTCATCCCAAAACTGTTTTCTTTTTAGGCCCGTTTATTCGTATTATCAGCTCTAGTCTGTCACACAATTTGTCAAATTGTCAACGCAAATTGAGAGAATGCAAAAATCCACCAGATTATTTATGCTGTCTAATGTGTACATGAGCATTGTCCACACTGACTTTTGGTTTCCGTCAAAAACCATGAAAAAGTAATTTTTTCTGGTAAATTTTGGGTTTCGGAAATTTTCTGTTGGGAGATAATTTGTCAAAGTATTAATAAGGTCATTACGAGTTTACCTCAAAGTATGCACTCAGACAGTACGCCACGCGTCGGTCGATACTCCAGCTGTACTGTCTTCGTGCATAATTTGAGGTATTCTCGTAATAACTTCCTATTATGTATTTATCCTTTAGATTAGAACCGAGTGGATGGAAGTTGCAGCTGTTGTGGATCGGATTCTGCTCATAATGTTTTCCGTGTGTATTATCACTGGGGCGCTGATTATATTACCTCGTATAACTTAGTCATTGTTATTGTCGACCTCTAAAAAACGTCTCGGGTCATTCATTCACAGCCATTGAGCGAATGTAATGAAATAGACATATCTGGTTATTTATTATCGAACACGACGAAATTTCTATGAATGTGTTGTATTCAACACATTGTTGTGTGGAGTACAATATAAATAACAAATCGCTTTTGACTTGAAGTATATATATTATGACAGTCATAGTGTAAAATATTTCCACTCACATTAGCTAGCCCGTTAAGGCTAAAGACCAATCTTATGGCGTTATTGTAAGCCACTAACACTGTATTTAAAATTTGTGTATGACAATCACTCTGAACAATATGTATTGTATAAATAGGATCTCAATACACTTAACTTAGCTTTTTTATAACTTTTCGTAAAATAAAGTTTGCACTGGCGTAAATACACCTGAGCTGTCGCTTCATGTTTAGCTGTATCCTTGCATTCTACTGATACTATATAGCCAAGGTATTTTTCTATTGGGACGAAAACTAAAGACTCACCATATATGTACACGCTTGGTACTCTAGTCTGTTCCAACGGTTTTGAAAGAATGACATGCATTCTGTCTTAGTAGTGCGGACATGAATGCCAAACTCCTTACCACAACACTCGCAGATCTCGGCGAGCTTTCTCGATATTTTCACAAAAAGTGAAACTAACAAAAGATAATATTATTTTATTTTACTAGCTAAATGCATTTCAACACCTGTTTTTACAGCCTAGTACTGAGATAATCAATATCCATTGAAAATAACGTCGGCGGAAGAAAGCTTCATTTTCGAACTCCATCCCGTCGAACACAAACAGTTTGACCTAAGTATCAATACAATATCAACGTACAATGAATATAAGCATTCCCCTGTCAAGTAATGTTTTGAATAACTTCCAATGGTTTATAGCCTGTCAAAATCATTTGTTGCGTTCATAAAACAAGCAAAAACGGGCGAATTGTGACTTTTACAACACACTCCAACAAATTAGGTTTTTTGAAAAAAATTATTGATTTTTGCGTTCAAGAGTCTGAACGTTATATAGTTAATACCTGCCTAATATCACAATATGTTTTGCATACTAACCATGTGACTAATGGTCGTTATTTTTTTTTAACGGTACTCACATATATGTGCATGTCACATCATAACCATTAACAAAATAAGACCCCCTTAATAGTTCAGTGAATAAGTCAACACTATCTACGAGTAAATAACTTCTTCACATTATGATAAAAATATGACATTTTAAAGTTTAAATCGTATTTACGAATGGAATGCGTGTATGTAGCACATGTGCACACGAGCGTTGAACTTCTGGAAAGGTCATTGTTTCCTTCTCTGAACAAAAGCTGCAAACCACTTTTTAGATCAACAGATTTGAGTATTTGAAAACCGGCAGATACTTCGTAAAGTGCCGCAGTCGTCGCGAAGCGCTTGTTCGAATATTGTTATAAACAAACATTGTAATTTATACATCGTTATGGATCCTATTTCCAACACGACGGGGAGCGACGACAGTAGCGCTTTAAAAAGACACCGTAAATGTAATATATGCATAAAATACAGCTCATATGATATTACAGACTTATAGTCAACAAATATTGAAAATTGCATTAAATAAACTTCGGTTCTATAACAGTGATTAATCAGTTTTTCTGCCACTTTTGTAAATTCACACGGGTCTTTATGCTAATTTGAAACCGACTACAGTTGCAGGGCGTATTCCAAACAGTTGTGTTCATATGCAGAGCCTAATTGCTACAACTAAATGTACATCATTTAAAAATCGCTCTTACAAATCAGAGCTTGCACATTGATTAGGACTATGCAGTTGTAGTCAGGGTATAATATCTGAAATTGACGAAGATAAACAATTCTTCCTAAACTGTTGAAAAAGTTAACAAAGAGGAATGTTTGAACCCTAAACATCAACCACAGGTGCAGGTAAAACTTATCACGACTGAGCCTTGTTGATTATCAATAAACCGGCAATTGTAATGCCAAGTAGTATGCATTGAATTACATATGTGCTATCGGGAACTCGATATAGGTCAGGGACCTTTGTGTTATGTTATTTTATTTTATGAGTTTTCTAGTTAGATCAAGACAATTTGTAAGTTGTCTTACGTATGATATTCAGCTGTCTTAATTTCAATATGCAAATTGTATGGTAAAATTGAACACAAGGTTGGATAGGTCAACTCAAGTTTAACTGTGTCACTCATTGAGCGATGAATATTATATATTTATAGCATGCTAACAATACGGGCATGGTATAGTTAACAGAACTCAATAAAGGCAATGTATATGATTATATGTCATTAGATGAGTTTTAAGTCAGATAAACACCTTCTATTTGGACTCCACTGCATATATCATACATAGTACACGCAGTTGGGAGTTATCCTATGCTGAGAGTTCTTTCCCAAATATTAACAAAGAGTGTTGGGGTTTGCAATTGTTGATAGAGGTCCTTGTAAAATTACTGAATTATATTTGTCATAAGACTTTTATATTCAACAGAAAGACAATAAAAAAAAACTTTTATGGCGATATTGCCAGCAAGCTATTCACAGATTATTCACATTGGTCCAAATCTTGCATCAAAAATTAAATTTTACTACAATTTAACACCACTCTTCGTCTCTGTGCAGACCACACAAATTTGTTTAAATATTTCAACACAACACTTCTTCACATAAATAGTGAACTGCACAAAGTATATGAATGATACATTACCAACAAACTAACTATTAGACGTATAGACAAAACAAATATGCTTATTACTAAAACTCAAAAATCTGTTTCGCGTGGAGGGAAGACAGACGGCGTAAGTTTGTCTACTTACTTCGGACTTTCGATTTATTGCCATAAGAACATACAGAAGAGAGCAAAATAATAATAATAATTTTTAGGCTAATTTGAAAAAAAAACACCTCCTTCAACACTTCTGTCCTCTGTTCATTATATTCAATCGAGTCGTAAGCTAATATACTCATGCATTAACCTTCTTCATAATATTTATTAATTTAATTACTTATTTTCATTTCTTTATGTTTTAAATAAACTACTACAGGCATTTGTATTACTGTTTATACGTTAAAAATCTTTCTTTGACAGGGTCGCAGACTCGATTATCCAAATTGGAATAAAAGAATCAAACATTCATTCATTATTTTTTTCTGTGCCATGGAGAAACACCAGAGCTCACAGAATGATTCATGTGACAATCAAAGAAATCTTAGAAAATACCCCCGTGTGCTGAAGGTATTTGAGGTATGAAGTACAAATACTATAATAATAAAAACATATTTTCAATACACATAAAGCAAATATGTGGTTTATTGCATTCAAAATCATTGAAATATTTGTCTCATTTTGACCATAGACCTGTCCTTGTCATTTATATTCACAGTAAGCACATATGCTCATAATAGAGCAAATACAGTATTGGAAAATAACACAGCAAACAATGACTAGGATTGATTCCAAGTAGCTATGGTTTAACAATATTTAATGAAATAATGGCCATATATGATGGTTATATATGTTGTCAGACAACATAATTAAGTGCTTCGCACACGGGAGTCAAAGACACTACCCATTTCACATATCCAAGTATTGATGTTGTTCAATGACTTCTGGGCTTTACATATGTCTATTTATATCATGAATATTCATCAGTTGGTCATTATGCAGATCTGGTCACAATTTTAATACATGCATAATTCATGAAAATGACTACAAATTGTGAAAGATGGGCTCATTAACGTAACTTTATAGGCAGGTTATAGCATATTTTAAAAAGATAATGAGCATTGCTCGTCTATCATTACGAATTTGGCAAACAATTTGGCAGAACTCACTGAATGTCTTCAAACGTAGAATAATGTCCCACTAAATATATAATCTATATATGGTTTAATCGGTGGATCTTCAAAATAGGAGAACGAATTCGGGAACGTAGGACGATACAATTCAATGTGTGGGTGAGTTTATATCTAAAGGTGTCCTCATACGAGAGGTTTACGACGAGAACAATTAAGTCTGGTAGACTGGTATGTAAGGAGTCGTATTATGATAAACGTTTAGTACATGTGTACATTTCCATGATGATATGGCGCACGTATTATTCATGATATGTGAATTATAATAGTTGCAAAATAGCATTCAGTGTAAAAATATATATAATCTCTGCCGGTTTGAGTGCTCATATGTATTACTCAATTTCCGTAGAGGCAGAACATTATAATTATTGGCATACTAATTATGGATTTTAATTAAAGTTACATCCGTAGAGTGCATGTAAAATAAGGCGATTGTACAGACTAATTGAAACAAAATTTGTTCACTTTGCAGACAAACAACAAGTTAGATTTGAGTAGCCAAATTCTATCAACCCAATTCATCGCCAAATAACTTCATGTACATTCTCACCTCATTCTCACATGTAACGTTATACATAATGGTGAAACTGGGAAACAGCAATAACCTAATCGTTAACAATATGCCTGGATATGGACATTTAGTGCGAGACAATATCGCCAAAATGTGCGGTAATATAAACACAGGCACAACGCAGATAGGGCTCGCGATTAGGTGCCGACTATTGAGCAACAAATCTTTGCAAATACAACATTTAACAGTAGATTATAACAACCTCCAATATCCCAGTTATCCGTAGTTTCGAGTGTACCAATTCGCCTACGGGAAATGTCTAAATAGGGCGTAAAACATTAAGCCCGACAACTCTGCGACTGAATTGAATTACAGTCTTAGGGGAAGTTCTGGGGCAGACTGCCAGCAAGCCGATTTCGTTGCTTCCAAGGAGCGACAGGTAATCACTCCACACAGTGACCAACCAACACGTCAAAGGGAATGAGAGAGCGCAATGCATCATGGGGTGAACCAATCCAAGATTCGCTTATTAGACATCTGTACTCGATTTGGAATCGGGTTGCACACAGCTTTAAAATCTTGTGTATGCTCGGACATA